GTTTATCAGCCCTTGTCCTAAATATTCCAGAATCACTCTATTTTCTTTGAGGGTATCAATTAGCCACTCCATCTCCCATCATGATTCTGGCATAATGTTGAATTGTTATTCACTTTTGAATACAAAGAAGAAAAATTCAGGGACTAATGATTCCTGTCTGATTATGAAACTACATTTATTAGCCTTCTAGTTCTCCTGCGACATTCATTATGCAAATCGTGCATACCTCTGTTTTTTATTTATTTAATAAATAAAATAAATATTCATTTCCTTTTTTTATTGGCACAGGGATTGAACTCAGGGGCACTCCACCACTGAGCCACATCCTGAGCCCTATTTTGTATTTTAATTAGAGACAGGGTCTCACTGAGTTGCTTAGCATCTCGCTTTTTGCTGAGAGGCTGCCTTTGAACTCTTGATCCACCCCCTCAGCCTCCCAAGCCACTGGGATTATAGGTTTGCGCCACTGGGCCCTGCGATGATACCTCTGCTTTTAAAACAAAATGTATCCAATGTTTATATTGTTGTTTTATTTTAGTAGTTTCTGTAAAATCTCACCCTCAACTTTGGGTCCATAGCTTCTGGCTGTCAGCCCTTAATTTGTATCTATTTCCCATATGTGTTCATTTGCTGAGTAGTAAACATTCTCATACTTTTCAGCTTTTATGATAGTGTAAAAACAGCCTTCCAATTCACCATTTCTTCATGAAAATATAAGCATGCTTTTTTTTTTATAATGCTATGAGCAAAAAAATGGATAATTGCAAGATTGCATATGGGTGAAGCTATCACCATTGAAACAGTGAAGAGCTTTCTGTGGCAGAAGTTAAATAGGATTTTTTAGAAATGTACCAAACCCAAATACTATGTAATAACCAAAACTTGAATGACAGAAGAGTCAAGAGCTACTGCAGGAATGCTTCCTCTGGTTGTGGATACTCTGTGTATGGTTACTGTTGAAGTGTGAAGTAGCCAAGTTATAATTGCTATGGGAACTGTAATGAAACTCAACCTTTGATCCCTTTACATGTTCCAAGGTAACACCGCATTAACAGGCTATTGGGTTTACCTGGTACATTTACCTAAGCAGCTTTGTTTTAGGCTTTCAAGGACAATAACCTGAACTAAAGATTGTTGGGAAGGAGAAAGCAGAAAACTTGTTCCTTTCAGAATCTTATCTACTCCTAACATCAGAGTTTATTTTCATGGAATTCGCTTCTAACAGTACTTTTCAAGGTTAAGTAATAAATTCTCATATAGTGACTACTGCTCCTTTAAAGTAAATAGTGGACTCCTTATTTATCAGAAAGTCAGTTGCCTGACTATTTGTGTTGATTTATTCCAGCTTTGGCTAGGGCCCCCAAGCAAAAGGATTTCCCATGGCTTAAAGAAATCAAAAGATGAGAAATAGTAATGGCTCAGGGAGTAGCCATGTGTGGGAAGTCACCATCATTAATTCTTTTACCTTCTCCATTACCTCAGATTAAAAAATTTAAAAAGAATGTACCAAAGTGAATAATTTTCTTCGTTATTTTGTTAATGTACCTCCACAGATTAAAGTGTTCTTTTTGATTAAATTATTCTTTTGGATTATGCAAACTTGATATCCTGAGTAAAAATGAACTATCAGGCACAGAAAGCCCCTACAAGCCTTTGAGGGACTCAAGGAGACTAACTTGGAAAGAAAAGGATTAACATTCATTAAACTCCAGCTGTGCTGGAACCATCAGGGATGCCTGATGCAATCTCCTTTTATCTTCAGGGGTCTTCTTGCTACAGGTGACAGTAACCAACTCTTCCCAAGTCACACAGAAACTGGCAAACACAGTATTTGAATCTACTTTTGGATTAATCTGAACTTCAGCATTCTTTAAGCAACATCTGTATATTTTCATATTTTTAGTTAAGCAAATAATATTTGTTGTATGTTTATCAAATAGCTCAAAGGAGCCATGAAATATTGCATTTGTACACGACAGCAACTAGTATGCCCAAATATTTTTTAAGGGATGAGGTCTGTGATTTGAGCATTAGCTTAATAATTAATAGTTAATAAAGTGTAACATTCTGGTCAGTATATATTAAAAGGAAAGAGAAAATAGAAAGCAAGAGAAAGTCAAACAAATGCTCTTGTTCCTTCAGTGACACTATTTTTGTACTTACATACAAATATATTAGTTATATTCTACATTGTAATATCGAGAGATATTCTGTATGTGAGAACATAGATTCTGACATCTCTCTGAGGTAGACAGTAAAGCCTCACTAGACCTTGAATCTGCTGGCAACTTGTTCTTGAACTTTTGAGTCTCTAGGACTGTTAAGTGTTAAATTTATGTCGCTTGTAAATTTTTAAAAAGAGAGATTTCTTCTTACTTTGTTAACAGTTTAATAGGTGTGTACAGGTAACACTGCCTTTTGAAACACAGTATAGTTTCTCAATGGACAATGTAATGGAGCCAGGTAATTCTAGGTTGTAATACAAGAGAATGCTCTACTAATAGTCCATTGTGAGGGTTACCAAATTCCAAACTTCAACTTCTCAGGTTCTGAAATTCAGTATTGGCATTGCTTTGACATTGATTAGATTCAATGGAATAGATTTCTGGAAGAAAAGCTCATGGGGAGGGGGAATCTTATTTTTAAACTAGAATCCCAGTTTGTTAAGGGCCCCTCATTCTAGTATCATTTTGATTGGGTCTTGTGGCTAGTCTGTAGAGTTGGAGCAGACCTTCAAATCCAGAATTTGATTTGGATTTCCATACTAAGGGTGCCATGGCATACCGAGAGGGTTAACAGCTTGTTACTCCCATGCTAAATCTTTCTCTGCAAGTGAGACAGGCCTCTCAAACTGATCTGAGATGCCATGGCAGAGCTGCGAAAGGAGTAAAGGAAAGGGACCTGGGTCTCTTTTATGGTAGTCAGAGACAAGGCTGGGGTGAAGGTTGCAGTCAAACTTATGTCTGGTAACAGAGAGAGCACCTGGCATTTTTATAAGCCTACCCTGATATAGGGAAGAAGAGGAAGAGAAAGGGGTGAGGCTTAAAAGGTATCTGCAACAACAACAACAACAACAACAACAAAAAACTCAAACACTCTATTACACTGAGTCTTCAAATTTGTAAAAAAAAAAAAAAAAGATTATTTAGTTTACAGAGGATTGAAATCAAGTTCAGTGAACACTATTGAAATGATTCAACAAGGTATATTATAGTCCAAGTGGAATCTCTTTCACGGAATTACATATGTCCCCCAGGCTTCCAGAATGTCAGGATTTTGTATCACTCCTTTTAATCCCTCTTAGGAAAAAATAATAATAATATTATATTAATTTTCTAGTTCTTGACTTCTGTTCATGAGACTTTCCTTCTTCAAAAATATTCTTCGACATTAGAGTTGTCAGTATGTCCTCTCTCCTAGTCCTTGAACTTTAGTCTGGGAATCAACATATCTTTTTTAGGTGATTTCTTTGGTTAGCCAAGACCATCCTTTTCAGATATAATTAGACTATCTAGATGGATAGTGCTCTAATGAAATTGATCTCGACACCATCTACAACCACTTCAAATTTTTACTGACTAAATGATGGTGAATCTTCCTTGTATTACATGTGAAGTCTCATCCTGCATATTGTAGGGCTCTGACCCTATTATCTCATATTGTCTTTTAAAAAGAAAATAATGAATATATTGTGGAATATAGGTAACAGCAGATAACCTTTGTATAAACAACTATTTGATACACGAAGAATAAAGTAGCAAGGCTGAATCAATTCAGAATGGCTGTGACCAACTGTTCTGTATTTCTGCTGGGGAGAGGGAAAAAAAAGAATATACTCAAAGAGAAACAGAAAAGATTTAGAATCCACTTGAAAAGCATCAGCAAAAAAGCAAGGAAGATCTAGAGAAAAAACTCTTCTTCAAAGGTGTCTTTTAAACTATTTATTTTAAAATCTTATAAGCAGAAGAACAAAGTAATTCTGTGATTCCAACAGTCTGGGAAAGTGGTTCTTAATCTATTTAGAGACATCGAGTTATGTGAGAATAAATGAAAATCCTTGGTGGAGAGAAAATTCACACGAAGCAATACTTTCATTTGACCTAAAAATATGCATTAGGCTTTTCAATACTAAATTTAGGCTGGTAGGCAGATGAAAGTTATTCCTGAGGACAGGATTTTTTTCATAGGCTCAATACTAACTAGAGGTGGTACTTTTTACTGACTAGCTATGCTCATTTAGAGTTTCCAAGTTGTCTCTAATCTGTCTCTATATTTTATTGCTCAACAAATGCTCCATCTTTTTAAATGAAATAGTAGATAGCCATATTTCTAGGTGAATATTGAGAATAAAAAGACCTCTTAAGCAAGGTTTTCAAAGCTCAGATACACAAATAACTATAACAGCCTTCAACGGAGCAGTTTCCCATTTGTCAGGCACAGTACAAAGCCCAAACTAACTTAGTCTTCCAACAATTTTAAGATATGGGTATTTATCCCAGTTCATTAATGAATAAAGTGAGACTTAGAAAGGTTAAATAATTTGCCTTAGTAATTAGTAAGCACCTTCTGACACAACTAGAGGAAGATAATTGAAGTAAAACATGGACTCAGTAAATGTTTACAAACTAAACTTTAAAAAAAACTAAATTCTTAACTGTCTAGGTTAAAAATACAAAATGCAGTTTCTGGACTTAGTTTAATTTATACTCCAAATCAATGATATGCAAAGTTGACTATTCCCAAAACTCTGGGTGATAACTTAAGAAACGAAATATCTCATCATAAGCTCTATTGATCATGGCAACCAAACAAGCAGACACACATTAAATATTTGATCTTAAAAATAAAGAAAAATATCAGATGTAATTCAATAAAACTTTTGTGAACCAAAGACTCAGCTGCCTGGTTTGTACATATAGAAAATGATCAACATAGCTTAAAAGATGGCATTAAATGTGCAACAGTCCCCCCTTATCTTCTTTCACTTTCTGTTGTTTCAGTTACCTGTTTGCCAACTGAAGTGTGGAAAATATTAGGTGGAAAATTCCAGAAATAAATCACTCATAAAATTTAAATTCCATGCCATTCTGATTAGCATGATGAACTCTTGCGCTGTCCCACCTGGGAAGCAGGTCATCCCTTCATCCAGCATATCCACGCTGCGTACACTGCCCATCCATTTTTGAGGTGGCTTCCACAGTTATCAGATCAACTATTACAGTGCTTTGTTCAAGCAACTCGTGTACAGTAGCCTAATGCTGTGTCACATGCCTGTGTCACCTCGCTTCATCTCATCACATAGGTACTGCCTCACCTCACACCTTCATAAGAAGAAAAAGGGTGAGTACAATATAATGAGAGAAACCCCAAATTCATGTAACTTTTATTACAGTATAACGGTTCCATTTTATTATTCCTTATTACTAATCTCTTAATATGCCTAATTTTTAATTTCATCTTTATCAGAGGTGTATGTATGTATGAGAAAAATCATAATTTACATAGGTTTGGTATTGTCCATGGTTTCAGGCATGCACTGAGGGACTACTCTATTTCAAATAGATGTGACATTACTGTCTCTTTATTTATAGTAGTAAACAGCTGTGACTTTCAAAATGACAAACTTTTAAAGAGAAAAAAATAACAAGAGAGAAAAAGATGCTTGAAGAATTTCTTTTTATGCTTGCTATTTTGAAATAGTTCTGTGTAAAGGCAATATATTTATATTATCTCCATTATTCTCTGCATTTAAATGGCACCCCTTTTCTTTAATGTTTATCACTAATACCCAGAGCTTTGCCATAGATAAAAAAGGCCATAGATAATTTGCCATAGATAAAAAGTATTAATGTTCCGAAGTATTATTTCTATTTTTGTAGATTTTTAAATAAAAATGGAGGCATAAAATTTTAGATCTCTCTGAAATAATGATATAATCCACTGTACCTTTCTACCTACAAAGGAGGAGAAAGAGGGATTTTTTGGACTTTAAAGTACTTTCTGCATCACAGCCACTATTTCTCTCCTATCCCACCTGCTGACACTTTCACCTTTCATGATCACTCAGAGGCATTTGAAGTTTGTTAATTTTCTCCCTTTTTCTTCTCTTTGACCTACGAATTCATCCATGTACTTGTCAAATGTTTATTACGAATGAGTGCCAGGTATGAGGCAGATGGTAGAGATACAAAGATAAAATCATATTCCTGTTCTCAAGGTGAAGTCTACAAGAGAAGACAGATTTGGGAACTATTGCATTGTCTCTGGCAGATGCCCTGTAAGGTAAAGGCCATCAACCCAGTCTATGTGGTTGAATTGGGGCTTTTAAGGAAGCCAAAGGTAATATGCATCACCAAAGCACAGACATATGCTAGGAGAAGTGGTAAAGTTGAAAATGGAAAAGCACACAGGGACTAACTCACATAGGCCATATTCAATGCCATGATTAGGAGTATAAACTTTATCTTAAATCACATTAAGAAGATATACAAATGGAAGAAACTTTAGCAGGAGACTGGCATAATAACACACACATTTTAGAAAGACTCCTCTGGCTGCAATGGGAAGCAGAATGCACAAGATTCACAGAAAAGATATCTGGGAATTAGAGCATTGGGAGATCCCAAGCACCTGCAGCAAGGGTGTGGAGGAGACACACACCAGAGAGTTGGTGGAGGCAGAAGAAGTTCCAGAGTTTATAGACTGATCTTGCGTAAGGAGGGAGCAAGGTGGCAATAAACTCATGTTTCTGGCTTGAGTGATGAGGTGGGTGGCATTAATCTGGACTAGAGATTACTTCATTTTTTTAATATGTTGTGTTAGTGGTGCCACTGAGAAATCTGAGTAGAGCTATGGAAAACCCAATTAGATATGACTTTAGGATTCAGGAAAAAAAAAAAGTAGTCTATGGATAAAATGATGACTTAAGAGTTGAAAGTGACATTTAGGTAGATGAAGTCCTATGTATGAAGGAGGTCATTGGTAGTTACATTAAAAATGAAGATAAAGAAGGGCCTAAGGTGGTTCTCAAGGAACAGCTTACCTTCTTAGAGGCTAAACTGGGGGACTTAGGCCTTAAGATACCTTTGTGTGATCTAAAAAACACCTTGACTACCATCAGCCAGAAAGTCACAATATTGAAATTACAATTTATGACACCTATGATGTGAATGACACCCACGGAGCTGAACAGTACACAGCCTCCCTTAACCATGTGACATGGTCAGTCAGCTGGGAAGGAGACTAAGAAGCAGCCACCAGGTAGATGAAAATAAAGAGGCTGGAATCTCAACACCACCACCTGTGACCCAGAGGTCAAGTGCATGTGGTCTGAAGGCATTTACCAGCCTGCATTTGGATGTCCTCTCTCCTGCCTCCTGAAGATGCTTTGACTGTCCTGCTTCCATCCCTTCAACCATTTGGATGCACTGGGATTTATCCTCATGTCCTTTGTCTTTGCCTTTTTCTCAAGGGATTTCTCTGCTCCTATTTTGGATCTTGATACATTTTATTTAATATTAGTATTATTTTTTGCATTCCCCTTATTGTTCACATCTACAATCACCTCCACTTGACTCTAAGCACTCAGTCTTCCTTTTAGGACTTCACAAGGCATTCTATTTAAACACAATTTTCATAGACATGCATTACCTTCCAGATATACTTATAAACATGCATTAATATCTGAATACAGATACCTCTGAACAAGGGATAAAAGGGAATTTGAGGTCACGCATATACACTATCATCTTGGATATGAAAATTTTTATTAGCCTAAGTTCAGAAAATCATCTCAAACTATCTGGTCCCCTAACTTCAAAGATATTTCTGGATAGGCTCATAACCTGTAATTCCAGCAGCTTGGGAGGCAGAGGGATCATGAGTTTAAAGCCAGCTTCAGCAGCTTAGTGAGGCCCGAAGCAACTTAGGAAGTCTCTGTCTTAAAATAAAAAATAAAAAGGGCTGGGAATGTGGCTGAATAGTTGAGCACCCCTGAATTCCATCCCCAGTACCAAAAAAAAAGTATTTCTGCTTTTTTAATCTACATGGAGAATGGAGCTAGATACATAAAAACGACTCAAGCAATAGACTAATTAAGAAAAGAACTTTACTTTCAACATTCTTATAGTGAGACTTGTAATAAGATGAATTGGTTTGTCATGAGTTACATGTGTATGGTATTATCTTAAAATTTTCAATGCTGGTTTTTCTATCCCTGGGTTAAACTTGGTCCATTATTTCACTCGAATTGAATAATCCAGTATGATAGCCACTAAACATACATGGCTATTTAAAACAAAAACTAATTAGTTAAAATGAAATAAAAAGAAAAGTTTAGTTGCCCTGTCAAATGGCCACATTTCAAGTGCACAGTAGCCACACATAGCTACCACATTAGTCTATGCCGGTATAGAATGTTTCCACTGTCACACAAAGTTTTATTGGACCCTGCTGCTCCAAAATAGTGTTGACTGTTCCTGGAAGTTCTTGGCTCTTGATGACTTTGAGAAAATCAGTGAGTCCCTCACCAATAGTGCACAGTTCCTATTATACCACATAGAGGATCTTTGTGTTTTCTTTTTGCTTATTTTATAATGATAATTTGAGAAAATGGAAAATTAACTTTTCAATCAGCATCAACAGTGTTCCTAGTGCTTCACTTAATTTATCTTAATTAGTCTCCATTAATCCTATATCATCATCATCAATTTACAAATGAGGACAAGAGGGCAAGGAGAAGACAAATGGTAGACTCTAAACTCATATCTCTCTAGTCCACAGTCTACTATTCAGTACTACTTTGCAAAAAATATCACCATATGGGTAAATTGTCTTTTCTCCAATTAATGTAAGTATGGTGCATGATAATTAGGATGCACTTAGCAGAGATGGCAGAACCCTCTAGATTTCTCAAATGACTGTATTCTCAAATGAATTTACTTATTTAACTAATGGACATGTTGGTAGTTGTCATTACCAATATAAATGAATAGATGAATTTATTTGTCATTTATTTACTTGCCATCAAAAAACCAAGTCTGACAGACAGTATCAGTACATTCCAATCAAACAGTGGTCCCAAATCCATTCCAAATTTACCTTCATGAAAACTCCCAGAATTGTAAAAGAAATAATCTGTAATATTTTTCCAGAAGATTGATGTTGTTTTTGGACAAATCATACATGAGAATTTGAGAATATAGTACAAGTGGTTTTGTAGTTCAATATAAAGATGATTTCTGAAGAAAGAACTGATACTTGATGTTTAATATTCTACAGAGAAGAGAATCATCTTACAAAATTCCATTTTGCTCATGTTTTGGTGTAAAGTTGTGGTCCTTGGTTTGTGTGACATCCTAGCCAGGAAAACACACACACACACACACACACACACACAGAGAGAGAGAGAGAGAGAGAGAGAGAGAGAGAGAGAGAGAGAGGGAGAGAGAGAAAATAAAGTAACTCTCCCCATCACAGTTTAACTTTTTTCTTCATCATTTTTTTCAGGGAAAAGTGCTGCATATCTACCCTTCTTTGCAAATGATCACCTAAATGAGAGGTTTCCTAGGTTTTTTGGTTCATACTGGAGAATCTCCCAGAAGTAAGGTGTGAATCTTCATTAGTGAGATGAGTCCACGTACTTATACTTGGGCCCAAGGACATCTCAAAATCATAACATTATATTAGGTTTTCATGGTCATTGAAGCCATTTTTTTTTCCCCACAGAATTATTTTACCCTTGTGAAAAACTGTTGTATTTTAGTGTAGGAATAAAGGTTGTAATTATATGGGGCCTTTGATAACCACCAGCACCTCACAAATGGCAGGGGACTCTGAATTAGATCGAAAATATATCAGAGGTAAAATGTAGTTTTTCCATAGGTTTCAAAATGGTTAAGACCCAGCATGACTTTGTAATTAATAACTTGGCAAACAGCACAGTCACCTCATAGTGATTGACCTGAGTATAGCCGCAAATGAGAAATGTGCCTGAGTGCAGAACAGAATAAACTTGTTCTCTATAGAGATGCAAATTGTCAGCTTTTTCACAGTATTTTTTTTAAGTACCTCCAAAATGCCAGGACAAGGCAGGTCCCAGAAGGACAATGAAGACAGGGCCCTCATGGGGCAACTGACAAAGTGTCCATACAAAATGAAACTATGACCAATTGCTATAAGTTTTATAAAGGAAATTAACACCAACCTGACAGGAAAATGAGGACTCCTTTGCTAACATAGGGTGTTCTCGAGGCCTTCTGTGGGGCTGTGGGATCTGAACTGACTTAAAGAGTAAGGCAGAAACTAGCTTTGAAAAGTCTTTTTAAAAAAATAATTATTTTCTATTGTTTTTAGATATACATAAGAGTAGGGTGAACTTTGACATACATAAATGGGGTACAACCCATTACAATTTTTTTTTTGAGACTAGGGATTGAACTCTGGGGCACTCAAGCACTGAGCCATACACATCACACATATCCCCAGCCTCCCCCGCACTCTTTTTTTTTAATAGTTTATTTAGAGACAGGATCTCATTGAGTTGCTTAGTACCTCACCCACTGCTACTGAGATTCGTGATCCTCCTGTCTTAGCCTCCTGAGCCACTGGGATTTACAGGCATGCGCCACCATGCCCATCCAACCCATTACAACTTTGAGAAGTGCTTTTGATTAAGGGAGCAGCTTTGTCTAGGCCCTGAGGAGAAACTGAGTTGTACCTTCTCAACTGCTGCATGTTTTTAAAGGGTCTGTTTTTCTTGACACTTTCTGATGGTTCCTTCATTATCATTAAATATTCACCAATACTTGCTGTTGTTTCATGGAGAACTCTGAGGTTCTCCACTGAACTCTTCAATGAAACCTTCCTTTTGGAAGTATTCATTCCTTTCAGCCCCTGAAAATCACCCCATGTACCTACATTTAGGTATTATAGTAGAAGTTTGTACATTTTACTATGTACACTAAATTTCTGTCAGTCCCCCACCAGATCTGAATTACAGATTTTCAGGGATTGTGGAGAGAGGTCTATCAAATCGGAATAAAATACTATTCTTTCTGCTCTCAGCAAATAACAGGTCTGGCAATTTGCAGTATTCCAGAGGAGATACACAAACATTTGCTTTTTAAAATCTACCTATTCTGCTGATCTGAAGGAACAAAAATTTCCATTTCATAGTGTTTGTTGAGTTATTAAATAAAACAAAAAATTTGAAGGAAATGTGGAAATTAAAATCTATTCCATATTTTAAACTCTTGCTCTTTTGGTAAGTACAGCTAAATGCTACCTAAAGCTACAGAGCAGGCTCTGAAGATAAAGAGGCCCATGAAATGGAGAAGAATCTTTACATGATGGTTTAAATCTGAATGAAATAATAGTAGGAACCAAACTTAAAGATTCTCATGTAGAAGGGAAAATACAGAGCTTCTGTGAGGGGCTCAGTGTCTCAGGGATTCAAAAGTGTCAGAGGTCTCAGACTCTAGGAAATAGCAAGTGTGTCAAATGGCTACAGGTTAAAAGGAGGCTGCAGCTATTAAATGTTCAGTGGCCCAGAGCTTGTTCTTTGTCTTTAAAAGTCTTTACTTGTCTTGTGTTTTATTTTTATGGATCCTATATTGTCAGATGTCCACTGTAAAATTTTTGTTTTTCCTTTTTTTTCTTTTTGGTACCAGGGATTGAACCTAGGGGCACTTAACCACTGAACCACATCCCCAGCCTTTCTTATTTTTTTTTTTTTGAGACAGGGTCTCACTAAGTTGCTGAAGCTGACTTTAAATTTACAATCCTCCCACATCAGTCTCCACTGGGATTATAGGTGTGCACCACCATGTCCAGCCGAAAGCTTATTTTTTAAGCAAAAAATTGATACACTCTACTTTGATTAGAGGCTAGACATTCTGTCTTACAGAAAGCCATCTCGTGGGAGGAGAAATATAATGATGATGGAGTTTCCTAAATGGTGCTTTGCATTCATTGACTGTTGGATTCTCAGCATATCCAGTCATGTTCTGAGAGAGCGCGTCCTCAGCCAAGGAGAACACTTCTGCTGCACCTGTTTGCCTAATTGGTTTCCCATGATCTGGGTAACCACCACCTAGAGATCCAGCAGTTCTCACCCTTGTGCTGAATTGAGCTGAGCAGCTGGCTTTGGGGGTTACACTGATTTCTACAGTTCACTTGAAACTTTTCATATCATGCAATGCTTCTAACCAGACTTGACACCAGGAGCAATTAAGATACTATTCCAAAAGAAATACCAAAGTTTACCTGGCACAAATACTTGGTTCCTCTAAACTCAGATTAATTGAGAAACTGCTGAGATTTCCTAAACATTGGCTCGAGGCCTCAGGCTCAAAGAGTCCTGCCCCACAGTACTGCACAGGCAACCTTCCCACAAAGCTCGCCTGTGACTGCCGTGGGTAAAGTCATGGTTTGGCTTAGCTTCAGTCCTTTTTTTTTTTTTTTAAAGAGAGAGAGAGAATTTTTTAAAAATATTTATTTATTTATTTTAGTTTTCGGTGGACACAACATCTTTATTTTATTTTTATGTGGTGCTGAGGATCAAACCCAGCGCCCCACGCATGCCAGGCAAGCGCACTACCACTTGAGCCACATTCCCAGTCCCTTAACTTCAGTCCCTTTTGTGCAATCAAAAATATTTATCAGTTCCTAGTTAAATGGAGGGTGCAAATGGAATTCAACCCTCACAGTTGAGATACAAGACTATTTAAGGAAGGAGAAAAATAGCAAACATGCTAAATAAGAATAAAAGAAGATAATCATATGAACTTACATAAGGAAATCCAAAGGATTGACATAACTGTAACCATAGTGGGTTTGGAAGGAGACACACCTGAAGGAACCTAGACAGGCGTCATGGGTGTTACAGTATTTGCTGTTACAGTATTTGACTTGGACCTGGGAGAGGTCAGTTGTCCTCAAACTTCCCTGGACATGAGGGCCATCTGGGGAGGTTTAAAAACTTCAAGGTGAGATACCCCCAGCAGGCAGTAAAGACATGGGGGTCCCAGAAGAGGGAAAGAAGATTAAAGAACCAAACCTTGTTTGGTAGTGATCAAAAGTTGGGCTCAGGAGAAAAAGAGTAAAGACAGAAAAGTCAGCTTTCATCTGATTTTTACGTAGTCTTGCAGGTCAGGCCAAGAATTTTGGAAACATATTTAGCCATCTTCCCTCTGCTCAAGAACAATGGGGCATATTCAGTCACCACACCTGACTTGCCGCTGCAGAAATGTTAGAATTTTTCCTCCATAGTACGTAACTTCCCTCCGTCCACGCTCACCCATTGGTTGGAAACTTAAATTTGACAGAAAGCAAGTGTAGACACATGTTAATACCTCACAGGTTCCTTATTCGCTCAGATACAGGATCCCGGCTGTTATATATGGCTGTGATCCACAAACGGTAGTACAACTGCGGTGTGGGATTCCCCTGGGTTACAACCAGGAGGGGTCACCAGGGAGGCAGCAGATCTCTCACACACAAGGTGAAGCAGCCACCCTCAGCTCTCATCTAGTTCAGCAGGATGAGGGACCTGGTGCTCACAGCTCTAGAATTAAGGTGCTGTCACTGTGGCTTGCTTTTCTGTTTTGTCTTTATGTCTCTGCTTTTTTCTCTTTTTCTCTTTAAGGGTGAGCTTGGGTAAAATTCTTATCATTATCATGGATAATAACAGGCTGAAACAAGTTGGATGGGTTCAAGGATGCACAAATAGAGAGATAGATATGGGTAGGGTTTTTTTTTTTGAAGAGGGCTGCCTTATCTAGAAGGAAATAGCTCAATTATAGGCTGGCATTTTGTAAGACTGAAGATAAAATTCTGCAAACTTTAAAAGAAAATATGTTTCACATCACTGCACTAATTTAGGAACTTGAACACAGCACCTGAATCATAATTTTCTGCTTATTTTAAAAGTGAGATTTTTTTTAAAGTACTGTTTCAAGTAAATGTGTGTTTTAGCATTAAAAGAAATATATTGCCTCACAGCTGACAAGAAGTTCAGTACTTCCTGACAGGGCAAGACCCACAAGCACAATTGTAGCTCTACTGCAAGCGGGGAAAAAAAAATTCTAATAGCAACTGAATTTCTCTTCCTGTGCTACTTTCTCTGTACTGAAGTTTAAAACCATGGACTTTCCCAGTGACCCCTGTGGGATTCTTCAGTTCCTGCTCTCCGCTGAACTCCAGTGAGGCAGGACCTCCAGCCCTGCTACCTGGTTCATTGGAATAAGAGAAGATTCATCTCAGAAAGAAAGGGACAGTTATCTCTTGATTTTTCTCTGTGGCCTTTCGTGACAAGGTGCATCATGTGACTTCAAAAATATCACAATTGTTATCTTGTTTATTCATCCTTTACATTTCTACTATCAGATTTTACTAAAAGGCTTTCTGTGGGTTTCAGAAGAAGAAATGTAATCCTCTCTGATTCAGCTATTAAGAAGTTTATTGAGACCCCTGATCTTGAACTGAGTTCTAGAAAAGAAGAAAGAGAGGAGAAGAAAAAAGGTCCTGTCTTGGCCCATCTAGCACTGAAAGAGACAAAATTATAAACCATGAACTAGGTAGAGAGAGCAAACGAACACTGAAGGGAGGGCTACTTACAACAGCTTCAGTGTGGGTTCTGAAAAGGTATCCATCATGTGTACTGAAGTGTTTCTCTGAAACATCAGATTGGACTAATGAGTAGGATTTAATTTCTTGGTAGTGGGAGGGAAAATGAGCAAAATTATAGAAGAATGTTCCAATGACAAAATGCAACCTTGCTATGGCAAAACAGAAAAATACACTGATTTTCTGGAGGGGAGAACAAGGCCAGCCAGAAGTCAGGCCCAGGCTTAGAGGATATTGCAGAAATTTAGGCAGGTGGTAATTTGGACCTGAGCTGAGGTCACAGTACAACATAGGATAAAGGAGAAGACCAAATGGGATTCACTGGGAAGCTCTGAGGATCACATAATGTTTCTAATCAAAAAGGAGATCATGCAGTTTCATGTATAGCGGAGAAATGTTTTCCTCTGGTTTCAGCATTTTCAGCAGTTTTTATCTTTAGAAATGCGTTTTGACTTTACAAGTGCATTCTTATGCTTATTGTCTTCTCTCACTACATTTTTCTTTCTTCCATAGATGAAGTGGAGCAGGACAATCATCACTGTACTTATTTTGAGTCTGGACTAGTTTGGGTTCCAAGTCACCTGGAAGTGAACCCGTTCAGTTCAGGATGTGATGCCTTCCTTGAGGATACTTTTTAATAATCGATGCAGGTCAGTGGAGTTAGTAGTGGGAATAGTGACCCCCACCAAAGACTCTGAGAAGAAGGAAGTCATTGCTACCCCCAGAAAGTCCAGTTCTGCTGGCAGAAAACTGGAAGTTGAGGTTGCTAGGACGACCAGGTAGAAATGAATGGTGTGGGCCTGCTTCCTCTCCACTAGTTTAAAAAAAAGTATTGTCTTTTCTGCTACAAAGAAAGATAGGCACACTCACACTGCAAAGTGTAAAAGAACTCAAAATCGGTGAACTCAAAATTAAATGAGCTGATTTCAGTTTCAACCCTGACCCACCAAACTCACATACACAGATTTTTTTTGAGTTTGACAAACTTGTGTCTTCTCCTTGTTTCTTATACTGGTTTCACTTCATCTCATCAGTATCATAACAATTGTTATGATAGGTGGTTTATAAGTGTTTTCCATGTGATAGATACTGTAATCAAGGAAACAGAAACCCAAAGCACTGTCCAGTGCAGGGAATTGGCAAGTGTCTATTCCAAGACTGACCTGGAAGTAGAAGTTCTTCAGGCCTACTCACACCTACCAGTGGTACATAGGTTCAAGTAGAGCCATGCCACAGGTGGCCATCCCTATGGCTGGCAATGGCTTGGCCTTTATAAATTTAAAAATATAAATAAAAAATAGACACCGGGTACATTGGCTATAACAAGAATAGCTGGATTTCCTACAGCTAGTTAGGTTTTCTTTTTAAATATTCATTTTATACCAATGTGGCAGAGTACTAAAATGGCAATCCCAAATCTGACTTTTTAAAAATTCTTGTAAAAATGTATTATTCATAAAAGAAGGGAAAGTCATTTACTACTTTCTTGCCTATATTGTGTGTGTGTGTATCTGTGTGTGTGTGTATCTGTGTGTGTGTGTGTGTGTGTGTGTTTGTGTGTGTAGGTTTTCATAGAGCAGGTTAGATCTTTGTGAGCAAATCTGTAATCTCAGTTCTACTGAATCACATTCTTCTTCAGAATATCTTGTTAATGTTCTCAAATAACCCAGTCAAAAGGATAGAGAAACTCTGCCTATCCTCTTTCTAAGGACTTTTCAGAGTGCTTTACTTTATGTAATGTATGTACATGATTATATTTATGGATAATGACACTGTCACACAAGTATTTCATAATCATTAAGTATATCTACAAGTTTAGAAAACTATATTCAGAGAAGTGAAGTGACATGGCTAATAACTGGATGACCCAGAGTGAAATCCAGGCTTTCTATTCCTATTGCAGGAGCTGTGCCATCAAAAACAAGCAAATTGACCCCTTGAACTTACCTAGCTGTAATGGTAAACTGTGAGAATCAATTCCCCTATAACTTTCTTAATCATAGCTGTAAAATGCATTAAACAAGTTGGTATTACGTCTGTGTTAAGAATTGGTTCATATCCTGCCAAAATTCATATGTGGAATCCCTAAACTCAGTACCCCAGAATGTGACCTTATTTGGAAACATGGTTGTTACAGATATACATAGTTAAAATGAGACCACACTGGAATGCAATGGACCCCTAATCCAGTATGAGTATTCTCCTTATCAAAGGGGGAAATCTGGACACAAAGACATGTGCATGCATGAGAAAAGCATGTGCATTCTGGGTTTTGTTGTCACAAGTCAAGGAAATACCAGAAGCTAAGGGAAAGCCCTAGAACCGATCTTTCCTTTGCACCTTCAGGAGAATATGGCCATGCCAACACCATGGTTTTGGGTTTCTGACCTACAAAATTGCAAGACAATATCTGTTGCTATAAGCCACACAGTTTGCTACAGCAACTCAACTAACAGTAAGAAATGGAGCAACAAGTACAAGAAGACAAAATAACTATGACACCAAGAGCTTAACATTTTCCTCTAAATAGCCATGTTAATTAAGATCACCTAGAGAGCAAATTCTTTCTTGACTCAAACACTTTATAAAGATAAAGAAATTTAGTATGATCCTAAAATTGCCCTAACTTGCATCACAGATTCAGTGACTCATGTTTGAAAGAAATGATCAGGTCATATAGCTTAAATATCCGTCAGATACTTGAGTATATCTTCAACATTGTATCAGTTTTCAAACTCTACTTGGATATATCTGCTAATTTCCAAGGTAACCTGTGCTATCTTTAGCAACTCTGATGATTAAAATATGATTTTTTATTCAACTGAACTGTATGTGTAGATTTCACCCATTTGTTATAGTTCAGTTCCTTAAAATAAGAAAGAATGGATCTAATTCTCTTTTCACATATCAGTCCTTTGAATATTTGCACGATATCTTATCCTTTCTGAGTCATGTAGTCCCAAAACTAGCCCTTGAGTTCTTTGAACTACTACTTTTATAACATAGTTTGGAGTTTCTTAACCTTGATGATCATTTCCATCAAATGTGTTCTAGTTTGTTAGATCTTTTTTCCCATGGAATACCCAAAGCTTGGTTATGGTCACAGAAGTACATTATTATTAAATGTCTTTTAATTGTCTTTATAATTAAATAAGACAATTAAACACATTATTTTTATACTATCCCTCAACAATTGTATCCTAGTTTTGAAGGGCATTAGAGTATGCAGTAATATTTTTACTAGATTTAATTTAAAATTAATTCAAAACTTTTCATCATATTTTTCTCTAGACAAGTTGTGTGAAGCTAAGCTCTGAATTGATCACCAAGTGCCATAGAGACCTGTATGTAATAGGAGCCTGTGAGTCACAGCATGAATGAATGAACACATGTCTGCAGATACTAATGCATCCCTCCAAAATTTTCGGTTTTGTTTTTTTTTTTTTAATCCCCAAAAGAGAAACTTATACTTTATTTTTAAATTCAGCCAGAGTATAAATGCCTTCTTACCAATTAAGATTTCTACCTTTCATCACATATCTTATATATAAAAAAGATTTTTCTTATGTTTGCAAACTGCTTCTAACCAAAACTGAAACCGCATGAGGGAAATAGTCATATTAAGACTTGTTTAACAAAAATGTGCTCTATATTCCAGAAAAGTATTGAGATCCTCTACTTTCTTCATCTGAATAATGGTGCAAACATACTATGTGGTGTGTGTAGATGTGTTAGCAAGTTCTGTATACACGTGTATATGCATATTTTCACAGTCATATCATTTGGATTTCAACTCTAATGAGAAAAGGCTATAATTAGTCCCCTTTTTTAATAATTATAGTAATATCATAGTGGCTTTTGAGATCAGTTTTATGCCTTCATGCGTAAAACAACCCCAAATTTTAACTTAATGTAAAGAAAGAGTGTGAGCTGCATTCTATTTCCATTTTCCCAATGAATTATTCAATCTCCTAAAATAGTCGTTGATATCTTGTGTAGATATCCTATGTATAAAATTAAAAAAAAAACACTCTTCCTTCTCCTTGACTCACAGGGACATTGGAGGGCTGATGGAGTGTATTTATAAAATGCTACATGAATTAAAAGACAATTGCATTAACAACAACTTGAATGTTGTATGTACTAGGAAATATCACTGTTTTGGATTATTTTGTAAATAAGTTGTTTCACAAGAAATATTTCAGATAGCTTGAATTCTTGATTTGACATGCATTTGTTCTCTTATTAGTTGCTTTACTATTGAGTTTATTTAATTATCATCATTTTAAGGAGTATGTTTCATGGTAGCTTTTTCTTATTAAATGAAACATAAGTAAATCTTCAATTTTCTGTTTAACTATCACAAATTCTAAAACAAAGTATAAAATATGCTCTGAGAGCATATTTTACTTTATTTTAGTGACATATAATTTTTTTAGTGACATATAATCAACTAACTATATATAGTTATATATATATAACTAACCATAACTAACCATATATATAACTAACCATACAGCTCATATAATGATACTGAACCTGATTGAAGGGCTTCCATATTGTCTTTGTTAGGGCCTTGCTAAATTGCTGAGGCTGGCTTTGAATTTTCTACTCAATTCTTCTGAAAGAAAACAGCCTGATTGTTTTTTATGTCTCCCAATGGAAAAATCTAAATTTTGTATTGAGACATGACATCCTCTATAAATTATTCAAATGACACAAATAAAAAGTGAGTCTTATATAGTACTTTGGCAGCATCTTTCTATAGGACATTGCCTGTATTGCTGAATATTCTGACATATTATGGGACTCCTTGCTATTTAATATGATGCTTATTAACATGTGTTATTTTCGGGGAAATCCAATTTTAAATAAATTCTATTCTATTATTACCATAAGTTACTCTTAGTTTAGGAAGCAGAATACAATTTGTACAGTTTCATTTAATATATTGACATTTTCTCTATTTTTAGTTATATCCCAGCCATTTTTAATAGCCTCATAAGTTTTCATTTCATGGCTAAACTTATTTGTTAATATATTTATTTCCAGTTTTTTCTCTATTGTAAGCAATGCTATGATGAACAAGAGCAAAATTTTAAGGAAAACAGAAAATTATGGAACCTAGGAACAACTTTCACATATCCTGGAAAATGATTTAAAAAATGGAAAAATCTGAGTGATTCTGGGGACAGGTTTAGGAATATGATACTTAAAAAGAAAATGGGTACAAGGAGGGAAGTGAGAGAACATCAAAGATGTACTGTACCTGCCATTAAATCCTTCCCAGAATCATCCTTCTGTTTGTTGGCAAAGGTGCCCTGGCTCTAACAAAGACCTGAAAGACCTATCAATAAGACTTCACTTGATCTGAGTAAAAAAATGTACATGCCAGTCTATCATTGATATATCCTCTGTTTGTATTAGTGATATTTTGGTTAACCGTTTAGAAAATGACAGCTTGAAATTCCCAAGGTATATTCAGAAATATTTTATTCTAATTATTGAAAATAAATACATACTTGAGAATATACTTCAAATAAAAATATATTAATCTGATGCTGAAACAGCATAATGCCAAATACTTCATAATCTGGCATGTAATCCCAGTGGCTTGGGAAGCTGAGGCAAGAAGATTGAAAATTCAAAG